AAAGCCCCCAAATACATAAAACCAAAATTGGCAAAAGTTCAAGGAGAGACTGAAAAAGGCAAAATATCACAGCAGAATTTTAATACACGTCTCTTGGTAATTTATAAATCAAGCAGATAAAATATTAGAAAGAGTGTAAAATATTTGAATAACACAATTAACAAGCTCGATTGAATGGAGATTTTATATACACAAATATTCTAAATATATATGTATATATGAGAATTAATATATATATATAGTATAAATGAATTGTTAATATATTAATCTTTGCGAAAATGGACCACATATGAGGAGTGGCCTTCACAAAACCCCAAAATGCCAGTGTTATCCAAACCACCTTATCTGACCCTAGTACAATAAATAAGAGATCAGTAACCAAGGGTTAGTTCTTCCCACTCAAAAAAACTACCATACATTTAAAGATTTAAATAAGTATACTTTTCAGCAATTCCCAAACCAAAATATATAATTGATATTAGAAAATCAGAGCAAGATGAAAATGAAAACACTACTTATCAAGACAAGTGATATAACTAAAGTGGAATGTGGGAATTTAGAATCTTCAATGTTTATGCAGAAAGACTAAAAAAAAAAAAAAAATGGCAAAAGGGAAAGACTAACAATTAATGAGATAAGTATCCAGCTCAATTAATTTAGAAAAAGAATTACAACAAAACCAAAAAAGGCAGAGAAATAAACATTAAAGACAGAATAAAATCAAAAAATGAAAATCTGACTCTTTAGAATTAAATTTGTATCCCTAGAAAAACAAAACCTAAATCAGATTCAAGATGAAATAGAACCTGAATATAGCTATGGATATTAAATAACTAAAAGCAATAAAAATATCCAGTCACAAAAAATACACCAGATCTGGACAGATTTATAGTTAACTGAGCATTCAAGGATTCCTGCCTTATACACCCAGCTCTGCAGTTGGGAGAGGGTCTGAGCTGAAGAGAGTTGGGTATGAACTTGCAGATGAAGCTGAAGCTTTGATGGAATGTCCAGCATTGCTGTGCACCAGGCACTGCAGCAGGGGCTTGGACACATCAGTGAACCGAACAGGCAAGGTTCCTTCTCTGCAGGGAGCCTGCAAGCTCCCAGGAAGGACAGATACTAAACAACAAACAATAGACAACAGGGGTCTCAAGTAGTTCAGGGCAGGGGTGGGGAGTGCGGGGTGAGGGGGGTCCACCTGGGGAGAGGAAATAGCTCCAGGTGGGCATGGGAGCAGAAGGATCCTCCCAGTTGTCATGGAAACCAAGGGAGGTGAAGGTTCAAGGGGTCAGGTGAGACAAGACAGAAGCCTGTGGAGTGACAGCAAGGGGGCCCTGGTGACCCGAGGGACCAGGCCACTGTGGGCTGAGGAGTGAGGGGGAGGGTGGGGTTGGCATTCGGGTGAGGAAGTGGGCTGGAGGGGGATTGGGCAATGGCTAATAGGGGCATGGCGGGAGGGACACGTAGACGAAGCTGGGAGAGAGGGGGATTGGGGCACCCATGCCCAAAGGGAGGGGGTGTGGCGGGGAGAGGTATCGGTGGGAGGCGTTGGAGTAAATGCTGAAGCAGAGAGGGGAGAAGCCACAGGCAGTGAGTAGCCTTTGGGCCTGGGGTCCGTCCAGCGGTGGGTTTGCCCCTCACCCCCCGTGCCAGGCACTATTCTGGGTGCTTTGCCTACATGAGCTCCCCCAGGCCCTAGGAGGCCTATTTGTGTCTGCATGTGTGTGGTGGGAGGTGGGGAAGAAGCGGGGATGGTGAGAACGAGGGATCTTTCTGGATTTTGGCCCTGATGGAAGGAGGGGGTAAGCAGAGGGGCTGTGGTGTCTGGGGAATCCTCATATTCAAGGACAGAGGCAGGAGAGCAGAGGCGTGAGCCTGCTTTGGAGGTGGGGTCTGGTGGGCTTGAGGGAGGGCTAGGATTAGGATTAGGATTAGGGTTAGGGTTAGGGTTAGCACAGAGGAGGCCGTGAGGAGCCTGGGGGTTATTCCCAACAAAATCAGGGGCGGAGACACCCCATGTCCCTTGGCTTCCTCCTCCACAAACCCACCTGGAGGATGTCATGTGTGTAAGTGCTTCTGGGTATTGTTATTTTTGCTGTTTGCCGGGGTGGTGGCGGAGCTGGGGGTGTTGCAGGCTTGGATTTGCTCATTATGGACGCATCATATGTACCAGGCACTATGCAGAACCCAAGCTTGGGGCCAGCGCTGAGCAGGGGCTCTGGTGTCACCTGGGCAGTGTGAGTGAGGCCCAGCTGAGTCTGGAGACCACCAGTCTGTTGGTTGCCAACAGGCAAAAATGTGGGAATTTATTCCTAAAGGCTAAGCAGCCACGTCTGTGGTACTAGAGTGGGGTACCCGGATTCACTGGGGACAGCAGGTTGGCAGGGGGAGTCTGAAGGGGCCCAAAGGAGGTCCAGTGTGGGCAGGTGGGCTGGAGGGAGTGTGGCCAAGGGGCTCTGGGTCCATCCACATGAGGAGCAGGTTTGCAGGATAGCCCAGGGGACAGTGAGCAGGCACAGGGCTGGCCTGAGCTTCTGGCTGTGGAGCGAGGTGCAGCCCCCTTCCAGGCCCATCGCTGTGGACTCTAGTGGGATGAAGGCTTGGAGCGGGGGCAGAGGCAGCTGGAGGTTGTGGTGGGAGGTAGTGGGATGGCAGGGAGGGGTAGGGAGGCAGTTGGGGTCCTAGGGGACAGGGAGGGGAGAGAGGCGGGGGCAGGAAGACGGTCTGAGAGGACAGGAGAGGGGCAGGGAGGCACTAGTTTCCTCTCTCTGGGGCTGGGCCACAGGAAATCCAGCCCTCGTGCTTCCAAGGTGCTTCCTGCAGATAAGTGAGCCTCCCACAGCCCCTTCCTGCCTCCCACCCCGCCCCAGCCCCTAGGGAACCCTCAGCTGCATCACTCAGGCCAAGCCAGTGGCCTTGGGAGGAGCCTGGATGGGGGGTCAGGAGGTCTGGACATCCTGGGGCCACACTTCCCGGGCAGGGAGGGTCTGCCCAGGCTTGGGGAGAAAGCAGGGCCAGACTCCAGACAGCACCAGAGACTCAGCTCTGCTGGTCACTGGTGTCCTGGGGAGGCAGAGGCGTTTTCCTCAGGGGTGGTGAGTGTGGGGGCGTGAGCCAGGGATCCCCGGGAAGAGGGCCCTACTCTGGAGTTGACCAGAGGCTGTTCTGGAGCAGACGGGTGGTCAGAAACGCTCTGTATGAGGCTGGGGTGCGAGGCGTGGCAGGCAGGTGGGGGTTAAGGGGGACCTGTGAGGAGCGGGGCTGTTCTTGGAGGAGTGTCGAGCACCGTTCTGTGTGGGGTCAGGGTATTTCTAGGATGATCCAGGTTATCACGGGGAGGGGTTAAGGGCGTTTTCTGTGTGTATGGGGCCGGGGCAGTTCAAGGTTATCCCTGGGGGGCTCAAGAATAACCAGTTTAGGGGGGGATCCAAAACTGCTCTTGGAGAGGGTGGGGGAGGCTGGGGGCTAGGGGCCGTTTTCCATCATGGGTGGGGCTCAGTGAAGGTATCAAGTGTGCCTCAGGGGGTGATCGGCTGGGGGAGGGTGTCAGGACCTGTTTTTTCGGGGGGTGAGGTGGGGTCAGTCAAAGCCAGTTGGGAGAGTTCTATGGGAGTCAGGAGCTGTTTCCCGGGAGATCGGGGATATGCCAACGTTTAAGGGCTGCCCTTTGGTGTCGGGAGCCTCGGGGGCACGGGGGTTGGCAGTGCCAGGTAGCTGTGCGAAACTTCTCGGGCCGGGGGCCTGGCACGCTCCGGCGGGGCGGCGGTGCCTGAGCTAGTTTCTTTGCTGCGCTCCCCTCCAACGCCCACTCAGCACCCCCTCCCGCGTTGCCAGGACAACGCATAAAACTAAAATTCACTTCCCCGTCGCAGGTGGAGACTAGTAGCGCCCCCTCCCCTAAGCCCGTCCTCGTAGGTCGAGCCCCCATCCTGGGGTCGCTGAGGTGACCGGGAGGGATCTAGGCCGACCAGGGGGTCAGGGAGGGGTCGGAGGAGAGGGGGCCTGGGGGTCCGGAGCGAAGTCTCCAGACTCAGCCGGGGTGGGGGTGTCGCGCCGCCCAGGCGGGGCGTGCTGGAAAGGGTTAATCCGGGGGGCTCGCGCTCCGGCGGGGACCTGTTTTTTCGGGGGGTGAGGTGGGGTCAGTCAAAGCCAGTTGGGAGAGTTCTATGGGAGTCAGGAGCTGTTTCCCGGGAGATCGGGGATATGCCAACGTTTAAGGGCTGCCCTTTGGTGTCGGGAGCCTCGGGGGCACGGGGGTTGGCAGTGCCAGGTAGCTGTGCGAAACTTCTCGGGCCGGGGGCCTGGCACGCTCCGGCGGGGCGGCGGTGCCTGAGCTAGTTTCTTTGCTGCGCTCCCCTCCAACGCCCACTCAGCACCCCCTCCCGCGTTGCCAGGACAACGCATAAAACTAAAATTCACTTCCCCGTCGCAGGTGGAGACTAGTAGCGCCCCCTCCCCTAAGCCCGTCCTCGTAGGTCGAGCCCCTATCCTGGGGTCGCTGAGGTGACCGGGAGGGATCTAGGCCGACCAGGGGGTCAGGGAGGGGTCGGAGGAGAGGGGGCCTGGGGGTCCGGAGCGAAGTCTCCAGACTCAGCCGGGGTGGGGGTGTCGCGCCGCCCAGGCGGGGCGTGCTGGAAAGGGTTAATCCGGGGGGCTCCCGCTCCGGCGGGGGGGAGCCCTGCACCCCGGCCCGTCCGGAGGTCCTCGTCGTTCGGCCCCCAGGACGGGGGCAGGGTGGTCCCCGCCGTGGCCTCCGGGCCTGGAGCTGGGGGTCGGGAGAATAAGGGGGAAGCCGGCAGCTCCGGGAACTAATCCTGTCTTTCTCTCCCCTCCCGGCCGGTCTCTGGTCCTCGTGCCCCGGCGCGGCCCCCACCCAGCTCCAGGACCCTCTCCCACGCCGCACCTGCCCGGGGCCCGCAGCGGAAGGGCGGCGCGGCCCGGCTNAGCGGGCGTGCGCTGAGCGCGGTGCGGGGCGCTGCGCGGGGAGGGGCGTGCAGATGCGCAGCGGGAGCAGCGCGGCGGCCCGGGCGGTGAGCGCAGTGCGAGCCGGTTGTGCTGTGTGAGGTGAGCGGGGTGCGGCGTGCGTAGTGGGCAGCGTGTATCAGCAGGACTGAGTGCCTGGAGGGTGTGTGGCACGAGCGCTGTAAGCTGGGTACACATGTGCCTCTCCCGCTGCTGCGCAGTCTTGAGAAGGCCGACCTAAGTCCTCCTCGTGCTCACCTTTCGTGATGTGCACGCGTGCCCAGGGGAGGGTGACAGCTGCAGTGGGCGCTGAAGTGAGCACAGGGTCGCCGGGGTCAGAGGTAGCCTGGCCTCCGTGGTGGTGCAGGGAAAGGGAGTCAGTTCTGCTCGCAGATTGGTGTCTAGGAAGGTAAGCCTGGAATCGGGCCTTCGGACAGGGGGGGATTTGCCAGGGAATCCTGGGGATGGGAAGGAGAAAGGTTCTTTGTGGGCTGCAGGGCAGTGAGGCATGGTGGGTGCCAGCAGCTGTAGTTCTGTCTGTCCTCGTGGGAGTCTGTCCGTTTGGGTTGTGAAGGCGTGTGCAGGAGGACACTGGGAGGGAGCACCTGCAGCTGGACCACACCTCCTCACTTACCTTTTCTTTGCTGGAGCAGTTTCGATACAAGCGGCGAGTTTATGCCCAGAACCTCATTGATGATAAGCAGTTTGCAAAGCTTCACACTAAGGTAAAGAGACAGTCACGGGGAGGGAGCTCCAGACTTTACATTCTGCCTCGCATGGCCACTGTCCCCCACCCCAGGTGGGACTGACCACAGTCCCTCTAGCTTTGGCTCAGTCTGGTTTCTCCTATTGTCAGGGGCCCAGAGTGGACGCTGGGGGTGGCGGGAGGGCTGGGCACAGATTCCAGGCCCCATGGCTGTGGGTGGGTGGTGTGGCGATGGGTTCCCCTCAGATCAGACTCTTGCTAACCTCTTTGATGAGCCCCTGGCTTAGGGAGTGTCTTGTGAGAAGCTGGGTGGGAGAGAGCTGGACAAGCATCTGATTTGTGTCCGTGGGGGACAAGGAGCCCAGCACTTAGTGGTCATCCAGTGCTGGACTCTCCTAGTTTAGCATCTCACTAATTCTCTCCTGGGAAGGACTATTATTACCCCATTTCACAGGTGAGGAAATGACTGTCAGAGAGGTTTGGTCACTTGCTCATGACTGCAGCCAGTAAAACTGGCTGAGTGCAGGCCCCATGCCCAGGCACACCTGTGAGGTGTCTTACTGCTGGGCGCTACCCCTAGGCGGGCCTGACTTGGGGGCGCCTTACTGCCTCCTCTGAATGTTGCAGGGGCAGAGTGGGTGCCACAACCCCTCCCCAGGCCCCATAGGCCAGTGGGCGTTTGCATGCTGGGCATGTCATTGATGGTCTCTGGAGACCAGGAGAGAGATCGCAGTACTGAGGCTTCAGTGCCAGACTTTACTGCTGCCCCAGGGCAGGTGGCCATCAACGGCCATGGCTCTGTGGCTGTGCAGAGACCATTGCAAAAATGTCCCCCTCTCACTGCACTGGTCCTGGTGAGACCCTGTCACCCTGGGTCCCTTCCCCATGGTTACCTCTCCCTCCAAATCTCTCCTCAGTGGCCAACAGGACACGAATGACTTGCTCTTCAGTGAGTCCCATTTGTTGTTAGGATGAGTCTAAACTCACCACAGCCCTGTTCCTGCTTGCCTGGGCTCCGGCTGCCTCTCCCGTCCCCGTGCCTGCCCTGGGTCTGGCCGAGGTCTCCCCCTGAGGCTTTGAACGCCTTCCTCCATTTCATTGCCCTGACCCACCTGAGGAGTCACCTCCCGTGGCAGTGGCCCCCACGGCACCTCTCCTGTTTCCGGTGCATGTGCTGTGTTTCCAGAAGGCCCGGGCCTCTGGCCAGGGCACGTTGCCATGTGCATGCCGCATTTGTAACTCCAGCTGGGCTAGGGAGGCATGACTGGTGAATGGGTAAAAGGTAGTCAAAGCTGTGTTGCAGGAGGGGTCCCCAGGGGTGGGAGGGACCCCCAAGGGTCTGCCATGGGATGAGCTGGTGAGGAAGATGAGCCAGAGAAGGAGCAGGCCGTCTCAGGAGTGACAAGGATTTGGAGTTGCTATAGGGCTGGTCCCTGCCTGGGTAGATGTCGGGCTCTTCCAGACCAGGCAGGTTGGCGCACCAGGACTGTGGAGACGGAGCCAGGGCAGTGACTGAGGTCAGGATGGGGGACTGCTTTGGGGACACAACTAGGTTGACCTGGCCTTGGAGAGGGGCTAGCTAGGCCCAAGCTGACTGTTGTGGCAGATTTGGGTGTCAGGACACGGGGAAGGGTCTGGCCAAGCTGGAATCAAGGCTGTGGTGGGAGTGCCAGGCTGCAGGTGATGAGAGCTGGCGATGGTTGGAAGGTCGGGTGACAGGTCAGGTGGATGGGGTGGGGCAGTAGTAGATCCCTGCAGGTGGCCTGAGGCTAGCTGGAGGAAGGTGGGTAATGGTCAGATGATGTGGCTGTCATGCTGGGCTGACCAGGACGTTTGGTGTTCCAGGCAAACTTGAAGAAGTTCATGGACTATGTTCAGCTACACAGCACGGACAAGGTGGCGCGCCTGCTGGACAAGGGGCTGGACCCCAATTTCCATGACCCTGACTCAGGAGGTGAGGAGCAGAGCAGGGAGAGGCATGGCCTTTGAGTGGCTGGGGCCCTAACCCTCATCTGTCCCCTGAACCCAGAGTGCCCTCTGAGCCTCGCGGCCCAGCTGGACAATGCCACAGACTTGCTGAAGGTGCTGAGGAATGGCGGCGCTCACCTGGACTTCCGCACGCGTGACGGGCTCACTGCTGTGCACTGTGCCACACGCCAGCGGAATGCGGCAGCATTGACGGTCAGTGAGGGTGGGACCCTGGCCTGGAGGGGCGCGGGACCTGGTTGGGGGACACTGAGCCTGGCATGGATGCTGAAGCTTCTTGCCTTCAGACCCTGCTGGACCTGGGGGCTTCACCCAACTACAAGGACAGCCGCGGCCTGACACCCCTGTATCACAGCGCCCTGGGGGGTGGGGATGCCCTCTGCTGTGAGCTGCTTCTCCACGACCATGCTCAGTTGGGGACCACCGATGAGAATGGCTGGCAGGAGATCCACCAGGTGGGAAGGGTGCATGAGGAGGGGGTCCCGGCCTCTGTGTGCTGACTAGGGGTTCCTGGGCTCTAATCTGCAGGGTTGTGGGTCTCAGGCTCTGTTGGGGTGGGGGTCCTGGCCTCTGGGGACCCTGAAGCACCTCCCTCCCCCCCCAGGCCTGCCGCTTCGGGCACGTACAGCACCTGGAGCACCTGCTCTTCTACGGAGCCAACATGGGGGCCCAGAACGCCTCGGGGAACACAGCCCTGCACATCTGTGCCCTCTACAACCAGGTGCGACTGCAGGCTCTGCCCTGCGGTGGGCACCTGGGGCATGGGCACACTTGTCTGTCCCATGTATGATGAGGCGTGACAGTGTCCGTACATGTGCGTGCACACATCCCAGCCCATGTGCCACTCCATGTGTATATGTTCTGTGCCCTGCAGTGAGCTGTGGTTACAGTATGGCCTCATGGGCCTACATGTGCACGTGTGTGTTCTGAACACACATCTAGCCGTCTGGTGGGTCCTGTGAGTCCTTTGCTGCCCGGGTATACACTGAACATGTGGGTGCAAGTCCGCGTGTGTGAGGCCTGAGCTCTGCACACCCCACGTGCACCCCCATGTGTGCCTGTGCCATCACACCCTGACCCCGTCTCCAAACACCCAGCTGTGACCTCTCCGCTGCCTCCCAACAGGAGAGCTGTGCCCGTGTCCTGCTTTTCCGTGGTGCCAACAAGGACGTCCGCAATTACAACAGCCAGACAGCCTTCCAGGTACAGGTGTCCACAGGCTCGTGAGGCTGCCCTGGGGGTGTGTCTGTGCCTGTGTGACTTGATTGCTTGGTTCTCCCCTGGAAGGCTGTGAGGGAGCACCCACTCCCGGAATCACAGGGGCGGGGGCCGGGCCGGTGCAGTGCCCGGCGTGTGGAGGGTGTTGGTGCCGACGTTCCCCATCCCCCTTCCTAGGAGAGGGGAGGGTCTGAGGGTTCTGGGGGAGTGGGAGGGGGAAGAAGAGAAGACCTGGAGAACTGGCATGGGCCAGACCCCCCAGAGACAGGCAGGAGTGCAGAGGCCAAAGGTGCGGAGAGGGGCTGCGGTCCCAGCCTGACTTCATTCAGGTGATGCTTCTGAGCCTTGCTCCAGCCGGGTCTGGTCGGCCTGGATGATGACCAGGTGGATGAGGTCTCTGTGGGGTCTGGAGTTCATGGGGGAGGTAGGGGGTGTAGACCACGGAAGGAACTGGGCCCTGTTCTCAGTAGGAGTGGAGGCCTTTGGAGGCCCCTGATGTGCAGAGCAGGTCAGGGAGGGCAGAGGGCCTGAAGGATTTGAGCACAACTGGAAGTAGATACGTGCAGGCCATCAGATCACTAGACAATGGGGCATGGGCAGGAAAGAATGTGGGTGATGCAGGGATGGGGTGGCAGGGTCGTGGCTGAGCCAGGAACGATGGTTGTGTGTAGGGTCAGATTAAGAGTACAGGTGGGGTGACCGGGGTGCTTGGGACTGTTTGATTTTAGCTCCTGTATCCAGGAAGCCCCTTGGTCCTGGGCAGATGGGGTGGGCACCCTAGTTATAGGGTGTGCGTGCAGACCCCTGTATCTGTAGTGCATAATTAGTAGCATCCCAGAGGTAGACAAGAGCATGCATAACGGAGAAGAGGGACCCCACACAGCAGCCCAAGAAGGAGCAGCTGGGGGATGGTTGGGGTGCAGGCTCAGTGCTGCTAAGCTTCTCCTCCTGCCCCTCCACACCTTGGCCCCCCTTTCCCTAGGTGGCCATCATTGCAGGGAACTTTGAGCTTGCGGAGGTCATCAAGACGCATAAAGATTCGGATGTTGGTGAGTTCTGCCCACCTAGGGGTCCCACTGATGTGGATTTATGTGGCTGTCGGGCCCACAAACATGGGGGTCAGTGGCAGCATAACAAGGGGTCCCCACACCCCCAGCTCTTCCTCCAGCTCTACTCCCTGTGGTCAGTGGTCAGTCAGTGACCCCTGCAGGTTGGGGAGCAACTATGTTGAGTGGATACAGGATTTTATCAAGGTCAAGGGCATGGGTAGTTTTGGGCTGTGGGCTGGGCTAGCATTGGGCTTAGGGGTCAGCTTAGGACGAGAGTGGGGTTGAAGTTGGGTCAGGGTCCATGTTTTCCATTAGGTCCTAGGAAGGGCCAACAGGGGACATGGGGGCAGTGGATCTCAGTGCAGCCTGGAATGGGAGAGAGCTCAGGAGAGAAGGCAAGATCACTTCAACGTGCACGTGACAAAAACAGCGGTGCAGAGCGAGGCTGGGTATAGGGTGGCAGCCGTCCTCAGGGCGAGGGGCTCTGCGCTTCTGGTGGCCGGCATGTAAAGGGAAGCCTGGCGGGTAGGTGACTCAGTCCTAGAAGGAAACCCAGGAGACACACATGCAGCCTTTTCCCAGGACAGGCCGGAGGAAGGGCATATCCCTCGCACTGTCCCTCTGGGAGGTCCCCGCCCACTCATGTTTCTGCTGGGTGTGCCGCCAGGCCGGGCGTGCTGTGTTGGGGTGGCTGGTGCTGCAGCAGAGGGTGGGCCTCACTCCTGGTGCTGTCTGGCCAGAGGCCACTCCCTCCGGCCACTCAGCCGCACGTCCTGGGTGGCCCAGGCTTGTCTGTTCATGGCCCTCTCTGGAACATGGACTCCTGGGCTCCCCTTCCTGCCAAGAGGGTTTACTTGGGGGTGTCCCCACTTTTTATTCTTTGTGTTTTTTAATTTGAAGTGATACAGGAGTGGGCGGCAAAGGGCTGGGCTGGCATCGGGGCTAGAATCTTGTCTGGTTCTCATACGAGGTTACATCAGGGCTGAGGTTGAATTTTGGACTGAGGTTAAGATTAAGGTCAAATTCATGTTTAAGGACCCTTCCTCTGTAGAGTTTACCCTGGACATCCCCCACCCCCGATAGGGCTTGGCTACGAGCGGCGTCCAGCAGCGTCAGGGCCGGGATGCTGGCCCGACCGTCCCCGGAGTGGGCATCCCCTCAGTGGGAGCCGCGTGCAGCCAGCATCATAGGTGTGCGCTCAGGACGTGACTGAGCGAATGGAACGGGGTCAGGAGAGGACTGTGGTGGAGATTGGGGTTTGAATTAGGGGAAAGAGACAGTGACAGGAAGTGTTTCGGAGGTGGCTGTTAGTCTGGGAGGACCCTGGTTTGTGGATGTGTGGGTTCTTCTTTTCTGCCCGTGATTTCTAACCATGGGAAAGCTGCTGAGGACTTCTGTACCTTAGTTTCTCTGAAAGGAAACATGGTCTTTTATGGTTACTTGCATCCCCTTCCTGCCCCAGCCTCCTGTGGCATTCGATTCTGCGTGGGGCTGGACTCTGGCACATGGCTTTAGTCTAGCCTGTTGGAGGGAGGGGACTTGCTTGTAAGCCAGGCTGAGAGGCAGGAAGGCCCCACCTGCCCCACATCTCGTGACGTGGACAGAGATACTAGGGCTCTAGGGGTCTTACTGTCCATCTGACCTAGGGTGTGCTTGCTCAGCTGGGGTTAGGCACACTGTCTCTGAGTGGTATGGAGCAGGCATGTGTCAGTCCCAGTGTGGTCATCAGCTTTGCTGGCCACACACCCTTGCTGCTCAGGTGTCTCTCACACACACAGATGACAGCCCGATGTCCCTGAGTACAGGGTGACATATTCGCAAGTGTTTAATACAAGTCATTTGTCTCAATTCACCCTCTTACCTACCCCCCAAGGAGTGACAGAGAAGGAAACTGAGGCACAGAGGTGGTTAATGGCAGAGGCTGTCATCAGACCCGGGCAGTTCAGGAGTCTGTGCTGGTCACGCTCATTCCCTCTGCAGAAGTTCACTCCAAGGACACTCCATGAATGACAGTGATCATCAACAGGCCCCACGCCTGGGGTCCCTGGGTGGGGCCTGCACAAACATGAGGAGTGGGAGGGAGGCCCTGCCATGCATCTTCCTCTTCCTTCCTCCCGGAAGGTGCCCCTGGGGGGGTCGGTAGACTGGGACCTGTACCACCCTTCAGAGACAGGACATCTCGCTACCCCTCGGCAGCCCCAGTTGTCCCTCTGGACCCACAGGCCTTGGGCAGGGACCTTGGCCTGGGAGTGGCCACCTGCTTCCTGGCCTCTATCACCTTGGGCCCTGCTTCGGGTCCACATTCTGTCTCATGCTCACGCTCTGAAGCACACGTGTGCTCTCACAGATTTGCTATTCCAGAGTGCTTCTGATGAGTGTCCTGGGGAGTGCTTCTCACGTGGTGATGTCACCCAGGGATCCTGTTAAGTGTAGATTCTGACTCCATGGGGCCTGAGATTCTGCATTGCTGATCAGCTCCCAGGTCCTTGTACTGCTTTTTGCATAACAGGAGCCTACAACAGGACTTGGCAGATGACTCTCTGCAGGCCAAACCCAGCTCACAGCCTGCTGGTTTTTGTTTTTTTTTAATTGAGATGAAATGTACGTAACATGAAGTTAACTGTTTTACTTGAACAATTCAGTGGCATTTTATACGTTCACCATTTAGTGTAACCAATTGTATTGAATTCCAAAACATTTTTTTTTTTTTTAAAAGATGACCGGTAAGGGGATCTTAACCCTTGACTTGGTGTTGTCAGCACCACACTCAGCCAGTGAGCTAACCGGCCATCCCTATATAGGATCCGAACCCGTGGCCTTGGTGTTATCAGCACCACACTCTCCCAAGTGAGCCACGGACCGGCCCCCAAAACATTTTTATCGCCCTAAAAGAAAACTCTGGACACATTAAGCAATTATTCCATGTTCCCTATCTCCTCATCCCTTGTCAACCATTAATGTACTTTCTGTCTCTGTGGATTCACCTCTCTTGATGTTTCGTGTAAATGGAGTCCTGTAATATGTGACCCTCTGTGTTTGGCGTCTTTTACTCAACATGTTGAGCTTCGTCCACCTTGCAGGATGTGCCACTGCTGCATTGCTGAACAACATTCCACTCTTTGTACACGTGGTGTTTTGTTTATCTGTTCGGCTGTCGGTGGAGACGCGGTGGTTTCCACCTTTTGACTTCTGAGTCTTGCTGTATGAACCTGTGTATGTGTATATGTTTGAACCCCAGTTTTCAGTTCTTTCGGGTATATACCGAGGAGCGGAATGTAGGGGTCATATGATAATTCCATGTTTAACTTCTTGAGGAACTGCCAAACCGTTTCCCCCGTTTCACACGGGGCTTGCGATTTCTTCACGTTCTCGCCAACACTTGTCCCTTTTTTTCATTACAGCCGTCCTAGCGGGTGTGAAGTGGTGTTTCATTGTGATTTTGACTTGCATTTTCCTAAAGAGTAATGATGTTGAGCATCTTTTTGTGTGCATATTGGCCATTTGTATATCTTCTTTGAAGAATTGTCAAGTCCTTTGTTTTAAAATTGGGTTATTAATTTTTCTGTTGTTATTGGGTTATAAAAGTTTTAAAAAAATATATTCGGAATACTAAACTCTTAACAGATATATGATTTGTAAATATTTTCTCCTATTTGGTAGATTGTCTTGTCACTTTCTTGATAATGTCCTTTGACGTATAAGAATTTTTAATTTTGATGAAGCCCAATGTATTTGCTTTTTCTTTTGCTGCTCCTGCTTTTGGTGTCCTATCTAAGAATTTACTGCCAAGATCTCAGGTCACGAGGGCTTACTCCCTCTGATTCCTTCTAAGAGTTTTGTAGTTTTAGCACTATATTTAGGTCATTGATCCATTCGAAGTCAACTTTTGTACATGGCATGAGGAAGGGATTCATCTCCATGCCTTTGTGTATGGCTCTCCAGCTGTGCAGCACCATTTGTTGAAGGGACTATTCTTTTCCTATTGAATGATCTTGGCACCCTTATTGAACATCAATTGGCCACAGACATATGGCTTGACTTCTGGACTCTCAAGTCCCATCCCGTTGGTCTACATGTCTGTTCTTATGTCAGTACTACACAGATTTGGTTACTTTAGCTTTGTAGTAAGTTTTGAAAATCAAGTGGTTTGAGTACTCTAACTTTGTTCCTCTTTTTGGATATAGTTTTAGCTAATCAGGGTCCCTTGTGATTCCATATAGATTGGAGGATTGCTTTTCTATTTCTGCATAAAAGGATGTTAGGGATTACATTAAATCTGTAGATCACTTTCAGTAGCATTGACATGTTATCAATATTGCCTTTCAATGAGCGAGCATGGGATGTCCTTCTGTTTACTTAGGTCTTCCTTAAGCAATGTGTTATTTTCAGAATACAAGTCATTTACTTCCTCAGCTAAATTTATTCTTGGGTATTTTATTCTTTTGGATGCCATTGTAAATGGAATTACCTTCTTAATTTCCTTTTTGGATTGTTTATTGCTGGTGTATGAAAACACTAGTGATTTGGGTTTGTTGAGCTTATACCCTACAACTTTGCTGGATTTGTTTATTAGCTCTAGTAGCTTTTTTCTGGTGTATTCTTTGAAATTTTCTATATACAGGATCTTGCCGTCTGCAAATAGGGATAGTTTTACTTCCTCCCAATTTGATGCCTTTTATTTATTTTTCTTGCCTAATTGCTCTTGGCTGAAACTTCCAGTGCCATGTTGAATAGGGTCAGGCATCTTTGCCTTGTTCCTGATGTTAGGAGGAAAGCTTTTAGTTCTTCACTACTGAGTATAATGTTAGCTGTGGTTTTTAAGTAAATGTTCTTTATTGTGTTGAGGAAGGTCCCCTCTATTACTAGATTTCTGAGTGTTCTTTTCATCATGAGAGGGTGTTGGACTATGGCAAATGCTTTTTCTGCATCAATTAAAGTGGTCGTGTTGTTTTCTCTCTCCTTCGTTCCATGAATGTGATATATTATGTTGATTACACTGGTCTGTAGATTTTTTTCCTTTTAATATCTTTATCTGGCTTTGGTATCAGGGCAATACTGGCCTCATAGAATGAGTTAGGAAAGGTTCCCTACTTTTCTGTTTTTTGGAAGAGTTTGAGAAGGATTGGTGTTAATTCTTCTTTAAATGTTCAGTAGAATTCACCAGTGACGCCATCTGGTGGTGGACTTATCTCTGTCGAGAGGTTTGTGATACTGATTTAATCTCTGCTTGATATATGTCAGTTTAGATTTTCTATTTCTTCTCGAGTCAGTTTTGGTAATTTGTGTTTTTCTAGGAATTTATCCATCTCATCTAGCTCATCTAATTTGTTGGTGTACAATCGTTCGTAGTATTAGCTTATATTTCTTTCTTTTTATTTCTGTAAGATCAGTTCATTTCTGATTTTAGTCATTTCTGTGCATCTTCTCTCTTTTTTTTCAGCCTAGGTAAAGGTTTGACAATTTTGTCGATATTTTCAAAGAAACAACTTTTCATTTCATTGATTTTCTTTTGATATATATTTTTATTTTGTTTATATCTGCTCTAATCTTATGGTTTCCTTTCTTCTGCTAGTTTGATATGCTCTTCTTTTTCTGGTTCCTTCCGATGTGTAGTTAGGTGATTGATTTGAGGTTGTTCTTTTTAATGTAACTGTTTATACCTATAAACTTCTCTCTCAGTACTACTTTTGCTGCATCTTTTGTTACATTGTATTTTTGTTTTTTTGTTTTTTTGTCTCAAAATGTTTTCTACTTTTCCTTGTGATTTCTTTTTTGATACATTGGTTATTGAAGAGTGTAGTGTTTAATTTCTACATATTTATGAATTTCCCAGTTTTCCTTTTGTTCTCGGTTTCTAGCTTCATTTCATTGTGATTGGAGAAGATACCTTGCGTGATTTCAGTCTTTTAAAGTTTATTGGGACTTGTTTTGTGGCTGAATGTATTGTCTGTCCTGGAGATTGTTCTACGTGCCCTTGAGGAGAATTCTCAAGTATATCCTGCTATTATTTGGTGGAGTGTTCTATATGTGTCAGGTCTAATTGGTTTAAGTCTTCTATGTCCTTACCGATTTTCTCTCTAGATGTTCTATCCATTACTGAGAGTAAGATACTGAAGTCTCCAACTGTCACTGTGGAACTGCCCGTTCCTCCTTTCAGTCATGTCAGTGTTTGTATTATGTATTCTGTTGTTCTGTTGTTTGGTGTGTATATGTTCATAATTGTTAACTTCTTGATGAGTTGACCCTTTTACCAATATATAATGTTCTTCTCTGTCTCTCATTCCAGTTTTTATCTTAAAGTCTATTTTGTTTGATATTAATATAGTCACCCAGTTCTCTTTTGGTTACTATTTACATAAGATATATATATTTTTTATCATTTCACTTTCAACTTATTTGTGTTTTTGGATCTAAAGGGCTGCTCTTATAATAGCATATAGTTGGATCATATATTTTTTTTGTGTGTCTTTTTTTGTGACCGGTAAGGGGATTGCAACCCTTGGCTTGGTGTCGTCCACACCGCGCTCAGCCAGTGAGCACACCGGCCATCCCTATATAGGATCCGAACCTGTGGGGGAGTGCAGTGGCGCTCTCCTGAGTGCGGCTCTCCTGAGTGCGCCACGGGGTCGGCCCATGGATCATATTTTTTAAATTACCATCTGCTTCTTAAATAAAGTTTTATTAAAACATAGACACAGATATTTGCTATACATTGTTTATAGCTGTTTTTGTGCTATAGTAGCATAGTTGAGCCATTGCAACATAAACTGTATAGCTTACAAAGCCTGAATAGTTACTATCTGATTCTCTACAGAAGAAGTTTTCTAATCCCCAGTCTAGAATGTCTTTTACAGTTTCCCCAGCTATAGTTAACTGCAAATGGTCCTGTATAGAAGTTGTCTGCTGAGATTTGTCACATGCAGCCTGTTTTGTCTCTCCTGAAGCTTGTGAAATGGGCAGTTCTAAAGCAGATCTGAGCATCTGCAAGGCCTCATTTAGCTGAGAGGAGGAGCACGTGTCTACCCCCGAAGCTAGAGCTGGAGGAAGTTAGACTGGGATGTGACCTCTCACTGGTAGCTTCTGTCATAGAATGGCCAACTATTTCAGTTTGCCTGGGACTGAGGCAGTTCCTGAACATAGGATTTTAGTTTTAAAACCTGCAAATCCCAGGCAAACAGACAAGTTGGCCACCCAACTGGCTGCTGCTCAGAGTCTCACCTATCCCCCCCCCCCCCCCCCCAGTACCGTTCAGAGAAACTCCCAGCTATGCGAAGCGGCGGCGACTGGCTGGCCCCAGTGGCTTGGCATCCCCTCGGCCCCTGCAGCGCTCAGCCAGTGACATCAACCTGAAGGGTGAGGCGCAGCCCGCAGCTTCTCCTGGGCCCTCACTGCGAAGCCTCCCCCACCAGCTGCTGCTCCAGCGGCTACAGGAGGAGAAGGATCGCGACCGGGACGGTGACCAGGAGAACGACATCAGTGGCCCCTTAGCAGGCAGGGGCAGCCAGAGCAAGATCAGGTAGGAGAAACTGGGAGGCCCTGGAGGGATCGAGGCAGGTGGGGCACCAGGACCTGAGCCAGGAGCATCTGGCACTGGGAAGCGGTGCCTGGCACCTGTGTAGTGATGGGCTAGGGCTTGAGGTGGGGGGACTCCCAGGCACCCAGAGGGGCCTTCCTGGGTGGGGAAGGGAAGGTGAGGCTGTGCAGGCTGGGGCAGGTCACCCACACTGATCTCTGGTTGGGGCTGGGGCTTGCCCTGAGGACAGTAGGCAGCTGAGGGAGTGTGGAGAGGGTGTGGTCCGTCCTGTGGTTCAGTACGTCTGCTGCAGTGTCAGGGAGGGCTGGGGCGAGTTTGGGATGGTGGCGTGTGGAAAGGGGGTTGAGGATGGAGCTGCCTTTCCATGAGGGCTCGAAACCTACAGGTGACCCCAGCCCTGTGCCAAGGGCAAGGCTTGGCCTTTTCCTACATTTACAGGACTCTGTGTTTTCTATTCTTTACCCCCCACCCTGAGCCTTGGGACCCTGAGAAGGCAGAGATATTTGGGGGACTTGGTGGAGTAGGAGGCCTGGGCGGAGCCTGCTGGCCTCTGTAGCTGTGCAGTGGGTGGGGTTTGGGCACTGGCTCTCAAATAGCTACTCTGTGCCTGGGTTTCTGATCGGTGAGGTAAGACTAGTCCTTCCCACACTGTTGCCTGTGGGAAGCCTTCCGGAATGACCGGGGCACGTGAGGGGTCTCTTGCCATTGCTGGTCATGGTGTCTGTCCTCCCGCGCCTGGAGGGCAGTTGTCTTTCTGGCTTCCTACGGTTTCCCCAGAGCCAGGCACATAGAAGGTGTTTGGGAGACATTGTTGAATGAAAGAGTTACATAAATCGCATGTCGTGTACAGGATGGCAGCTAGCTTTTACAGTCTTGTTGCTCGTGCCCGGCCCTGGGCTGAGCAGCGTATGTGTGTCATCTCATTCAGCCTTGGTGACTTAGCATGCCATGCTCTGTTAACACCACGCTACAGAGGAGGGTCCCGAGGCTCAGGTGGGGTAAGTGACTTATCCAAAGTCAGAGCTAGGAATTAGCGTAACTGTAGACCTGATTCCCAAACTTTCTAAGCCTAAGTGTTCAGCAGAGGGCTTGGAACGCAGCAGGAGCTTGTAAAAGGCATTTCCTTCTGCTCCGTTGTGCCTGCTCATGCGGCCCTGATCCTGGTGATGTCTTCTCTCTCTGCCTCTGCCTAGACTTGTTGGACTCCCAGGGCTGCTGTTCCTGCCCCAAATCTCTGTTCTCCCCCGAAGCTTTGCATAGTCCTGCAGATTTTCTAAGGGTTGGATGGCCCGGTAGCTAAAAGAGCACATTCCGGGAGGTTTCATTGTTGCAGAAATGAGCCATGGGGTGGCCCCTGGCTCCCCCCACATCCATTTATGTGTGTGTATTCATTCATGTGTTCAGCAGACACAAAACTGAGACCTGCTGTGTCTGGGGCTCCTGCCTACCTGCTCTGTGGGGATGGTAGAATATTTTTTTCTCTTCCCCACAGACATTTATTAGGTGCCTGGTGTGCCAGATGGGGTGGGAGCTGGGGTCCTAACTGGGCCTCAGAAGGACATTGACAGCTGGGCCCAGGGCTGAGAAGCAGTTAGGTGGGCAGTGGTCTAGGTAAGGGGGCTGCCCTGGTGAGTGGATGAGGGTCTGCAGCCCTCAGGACAGGGCTGAGGAAGTTTGGCACATCGAGGAGGAAGAGGGTCCAGGGGCATTTGAGCTGCGCTGGTCTGGGATGGCAGCGGCTCCTTCTAGAGCCCCCTGCTGGCTGGTCCTGGCATGGAGCCCCTGGCCCCCGAGGTGTGGTCTGCAGAGTCCTGGCCCCGGCATCACGCAGCCGAGCACACCGGGGCGAGTTTGGAGCTGAGAGTCATGAACTGAATAACTGGCCGAATGGGAGGGATTAGAATAGTTTTGGTGTTGGCAACAGCGTGATGAACGGCCCAGAAGAGGGAAAGGGAAGGTAGTCACCTGTGTGACTGGAGTGTAGCAAGTTCTTCCATGTCCCAGAGAGCCTGACCCTTGGCTGCGAATGTGGATCCGGCCTGCCTAGGTACTAGGGAGCCAGGGCAGGCTCTTGAGCAGAGCAGAGTAGAAGTGGAGGACAGAGACCTCAGGCGTGGTGCCCAGGTCGCCGGAGTGGTCTGGGGAAGGTGGTCAGCACGGAGTGGGCCTGGGCAGCAGGGGCAGGTGTCCAGGACAAGAGGACATGGGCCTGGAGGGAGACTGGGGCACCCAGCGCAGGGCAGTGGTCAGAGTATGAGGCGGCGAAGGCCCAAGCCGGAGAGCTGGTGGCGCCCCTTCCTGCCATTGGTCACCGCGAGGCTGAGGCGGCTTTTCGGATGCCCAGAGCCCCCTCCCCACCCCGTGCCTTCCCCAGCCCCCTTCCCTGCCCTCCCCCCGTCCGACCCACGC